CCGAAGAAAGGTACATGATATAATGTCTATGGACGAAATGGTAACATTTGTTAAATCCAATCTCCAGTTACAATCAAAGTTATAGTTCCATCACAGTAATCAGACCAGTGACCCTGTCTGTCATATTACAACACACAAATTAGCTACCAATACTCAATTCTTTTTCCTCCCAAATTTTAAAACAATGGACCACACAAAATCCACAAAACAACTTATAAGTTAAAAAATTTGAGTAGAACATTTAAGAAGATGACCAAATTTAGTCCAGAAACACATCCATAAAAGTTAAGAATACACAAGCAAATCGTACAGTACTATAGTATATCAATAGGTTTGGGGAAGATGGGCAGAGAGAACGGAGCTGGTCATCAACACCATATCTAGTCCCCTACTTCCATCCATGCTCCTTCATCAGGTGAGTGCATATGTAAGAAAACAATCATACATGTCAAGGCCGGAAAACCTATCCAACAATTTAATTTTAGAGAGCATGAAATTGAAAACAGAACCCAAAAAGAATTGAAAAGACAACCTGAAAGCCTATATACAGCCACCAAAAAATCACAATTTTATAAAATGAAAAATGAGTTTTTATAACTTATGTGAGCGAAAGTTTGCATCTTCCTGTTGGATAAGTAACAACCATCCTCAGATACAGCACGTGAAAGACGACCCTGAAATCGAATGAAGCCATAAAAAAAAAGTTTATGCTGATCGCGAACTTATATGGGTCCATGAAGGTGCTGATTGTTTTAGCTGGAGTTACCTCCCACGTTTTAGCAGTGTTCCCCGAAAGCAAAATTTGGTAAATGGTACTACACAAGAACAGAAATGGAGTACTAAACATTCTCTATTCTTCTCGACCCAAAGATCTTCTTGTGATATATCTACCACTTCAGGTTCTTACTTCAAGTTCTTACTCCTGCAATATTAATCTATAAAATGTAGTTAAATTTACAGAAAACAATAGTCACAAAGGATTACGAACAAGAGCTTATCCAAAAATTCATCAGATAGCAAACAAATGGTGATGTTTGCCTGAACACGATCATTTGTTCATGTCAACCGTACATCATCCATGTGGCTATGAAGTGCATTACCAAAAATTTAACCAAAAAATTATATTGTTGAGTTTCGACATAATTAATGAAAAATAATAAGGTTGCAGGAGCAAGAATGGTTACCAAGATCCACAAAGAAAAACAAATTGCATTACAATGCACATGTAGTTAATGATCATCAAGGATCACTCCAACACTTCTAAAAAGGTGCAGCTACCGCGCACACATGACTACAAGAAGGGTTACATCTCAAGGCTTTCTGACATACCTTTCTGATAGTGGATTTGGTGTCCATAAATCTCCAAGCTTTCGATGACTTATCTTGAGAGACATAGTTGACAAACTTCTGGCCCTTATTCTGCAGGTATTAAATAGAAATTAGAACAAACCCGTCAATACCATTTTAAACAGAGACAGTTAAAATTAAAAAATATCACACTTTAATACTTCAAATAAATAAAAAATTAAGCAAATTGAAAAAAAAATATTGAAAATTGAACCCATTAAATAGCTGGAGGTTCAACAACCATCGCCCAATTGAACATAGTCGGAAAATGAAGTGATGATACTATAGACCAATAAAGAAAAATCTTGCAGTACCACATGTAGGTATAAAATTCTACAAATTAGTTATCAGGTAAAGCTGTAATAAATTATCCATAACTCATTATCAAATACCATCATAGTTTAATTTGTTTTGGCTTTAGCAGACTTCTTGCTAGGCGACCTCTTGGGCATTGAGTTCTTCATGCCGATGAAGAACAGCAGGCCCCCGAGCAATGACAAATTCTGGTCAAAAGATCAAAATAAGTACGGTCAACTCACATAAATATATAGAGTCCACTAATTAATATATACATACATATATATATATATAAGAGCAGGAATATGGGAATCTCATTTCAAGTCATTATTTTCCATTTTTACACCTAAAATTCATAATCACATTTGTGTTTTTTTATTACCGACCACTCGTACATTACCAAACACATTAAACTTGCTTCGAAAATCCTACAACTTTAAAAAGAAAAGAAAAATTGAAAACCCAGGAATATATATTTTGGATTGAATAAGCACCTGTGTGAATTTGACAAAAAGCTGAGCACTCTTTCTTGTCAGCATCGTAATTATAGAAATCATATAAGATGGGCGCCGAGATCGCTTGATGCAGAAGCTGGGTAATGATTGGGCAAACAACGAACCCATGAGTAACAATTATAGAAATCAAAAAATCAGTATATAAACAAAAGAGTGGGTTTCATACACGTACCAATATTGAAGCTCCACTAAAGCTGCCAAAGACAAACATGAGGCTTCCAAAAGCTTTCACGGAAATGGCGCCCAAAATCAAAATTTTCATCTATGGTGTAATATTTTACACATTATTAAGAGTGAGACAATGGCATGTATATCATGTAATCTTATATTAATAATGGAAATACAAAATAGTCTACTTACATCAACATGAGGCACTTGTAGTCCAGTCTGCTCTAGACACTGAATTTATGCCTCAAATGCTTTGCTGGTGGCCGACCATCAGCTCCAAATTCATTGAACCTACAAACACAAGCATTTCATGATAAATAAAAAGTGTTTCAAATATTCTAAGCTACTAATCATCCTAACATGATAGTGAATAGCATTTGTTATACTCTAAGTCTTCGAAATTGCATGAGATTAGTCGATCCAAAGTAAGATGAAGTTAAAATTTGGGTGAGATAAAATAACCAACAGGCTGTTGAATGATGGAAGAATAAATTAAATTGGTTAAACGCACACTTGATATATTTCCAAATCACAATATAGCCAAAACGCATTATCAAAACCCCATCAATCCATGCAAACTAAATTCACTTCTAAAAAATTTAGCCATTACTATATTAAAAATACCAACAAGTGCAACATTTACGAACAATAGGTTCACCAACAATGTCTCGGAGATACTGAGAGATGAATTAGGGATACTGAGAGACAAATTAGGGCTTTCTAGGATATATATAAAATCCAGCTAACTTCACACACACACACAAACTCACGCACAGACTCGAGTACACACACTCGAGCACACACAGTAGAAAAAAGGCAAACACCAAGGAAGAAAAATAACATAAAAGCTAAAGAATTACCTCGTTAAGTGGGTGCTATAGGAGCAAACCTGATCTGGACAACATCGATCTATGAAATATTAAAAATAATGATTTGTAAAAATCACATTAGGTGTAGGCAATAATCGTCATGCAGTCCCTCGAGTAGTCCAAGCACTCGGACAGGCCTTCGGACAGCCGGGTAGGGCAAAGCTTGTTCAAGAAGCCAAGGATCCAGTATAAATAGGAAAGAGGCTTGCGTGAGTGCGGAAATTCTGGCGGGAGAGAAAAGACTATCATATATAAATGACAAAAATATAATGTGAGGGTAATTTAGGAAAAAAAATGCAAAGAAGCATGTTGGAAAACATCCCCCAACCGACGTCGTTTTGAACGAAATGGAGACTTCTAAGAGGTGCCACCAAGGCTGGGGCTGCAGAAAACACAAATTTTAAACGGGAGTATTAAAGAAGCAATTAAATGAGAGGAAAAAAAGAAAAGAATGACATTTATTTATAAGGAGAGAATGATAGCTCTTTACCACACCAACCCTATGGTTTCGAATAGCTGCAGCTTGATGCCGACTCAGTCGATTGATGCCCCACTGCCTGTGGTCTGGTCACTGATGCGAGATTTCCCCAAACCTACAAGCGCTTCCTGTGGAGATGCTATCTATCGCATAGCTCAGCTGGGCCCGTAGCGTGCATGAAGTGATGGTGACAATAGGGTTGCCGGCCCACAGGAGCACCGAGTTGCTGGAGACGCTCGACGATGATCGGCCTGTGATTGTTCTGCGTATTCAGTCCATCAGAAGATAAAATAATTTAAACTAAACAAAAAAAAATGTGAAGAAACACTTGGCCTGAAATTGTAGCCTGCCACCAAACTGCTCTCAGCCCTCTCCTCGAAATGAACGACCATGATTTAAAGAGAGGGAGTTGGGATAAAAAATAAGGTAATTAAAATAATAAGAATGAAGGTAAGATCTTATTAAGAGTAACTTAAGATAATTATCAAATTTAGAAAGTAAAGAGATAAGAGATTGAAAAAGAGAATATATCTCTCTCAAGTGCCATTGCAAAGAATAATTTACTAACAAAAATTTGTCATACCACATCCATAAGATCACGTATTTCTGTATCCTTTAAAGTAGATCCATATTTTCTTAAACCATCTTTGAGTTCATCAAATGTGATTGCTCCACTGTTATCAGTATCCATAGTTGTAAACATCTCTCTTAAGCCTGCAATTTCCTCTTCAGACAAGCTTTCAGCTATTACCTAGACCAAAAAGAATAAGAGCACCAAAAATTTTACTTCTCTAAAGTATTTCTTGAAATAAGGAATAGAGCATACAAGGTTATATAAAACAGTGTAGTGGATGAAAACAGACGAATAAGCTTATAGAATGTAAACTCATCACATGCTAAACACGAGGTTACATACCCGTAAAGCCATTTTCTTTAACTTATTCATTGCGGAAAATTGTTTGAGACGAGAAAGAATTTCTGGATCTAGGGCTCTGTCAAGCGCAACGCCATGTTCAGATATCCATGGATGACCTATAACAGAAGATGATGAAAAAACCGAGAAAAAATCCTATCCTCAGTAAAAATAATTTTCGAAACAATAACTGGAGCAAAGTACACTTCTTTTTTTTTAAATAGAGTAATATGTAAGAGCAAAACGATCCAAACACGACAATTCATATCGCAAAAAATAAAGCGGAGACCTTTATCAACCCCAACATAATCATGGCAAATGCTCACCATTTAACAACCAAGACACATGAGGTGAGGAAGTAAATATGAAGACAATGAGCTACGTATGGTCAGTTGCTCAGACCCCCAAAATCAACAAAGTTCGTGTTCACATAAAAACACAAATGATCAGTTAAAACTCTCAAATAATCAAGGAATAAGGCTTAGGTGAACAAATTCATCTACAAATCTAACTACCAAGAAAATTTCTTTCTACTTAATCAAGAGAACATCCAATCCACAACACACAAATCCAATCCCAATATGAAAAAATGAAAA